CACCGTACACTTTTTGAAGATTTTTTTGTGTTATGGGGAACGGGGTTTCGCCAAACAAACCGCACAGCAATCGTGCTACTGACATCTATTGTCAGCCATATCTCCCAGCGTCTCTGCCTATCGGCAATCCTCATCCCTTGGGCCCCAGTCTGGAACGCGAGCTGTTCCAACTGAAGCCAGCTTCTTCATGCCTCTACGTCACGTCATGGTCTGACCACCGCGGTTACCCTGATACCAAATATGGCAGTGCGCTATTTCCTTAAACACCAACTCATCAAATTCCTGGAGAATAACAACGGGAAGTGGTGGATAGAAAAGTGCAAGGGGATGCAGAAGACTGCGGCCATTAGGAATAATGGCACTCTGTCTCATTCGGAACATGGGCCCAAGGAAAACAGGCGTAAGTAAAGTAATTAAGAAATCCGATGGTACACTGATTACTTATCAGCAACGCCGGCTTGATCGATGGGCTGAACATTTCGAGGTGCAGTTCAACTGGACCCCATATGGACATCTGACCACCCCGACCGGGCAAACACTCCGAGTTGATGACAGTCCTTCATCGGAAATGGAGGTTTCCCGGGAAATAAATTATCTCAAAGGCATAAAGTCTACGGCTCAAATGACCTGTTCTCGTCGGCATTTAAGGATAGAGGTTTAGCGTTGGTTTTTGCAGTTAAACAAAACCTTAGGTTCGCTAAACGACAACGAACAGGTTTCAGTTGAATGACGTGAGTCGGTCATCTTATCGATTTACAATAAAGGTGATATATCCTCTTGTGTAAACCACAGAGGAATTCGTTTAGTCAACATTGCTTCTGAACTTCTCGCTGGTATTGTACTCCGTCGATTGCCTGCCGCAGATGAGTAAACACGCGTGAGAATCAGTTCAAAATTGTGCAACCATTATCCATACACTTTCGTGTCCCCCGGTTTTGTTTGTTGAGAATCAGGCTGATTTTAGACTTAATCGGGATTGTATCGACCGCATCTTCACTCTTCGCCAAATCCAGAAGCATGGACATTCTTTTCGTAGACCCATCATCTCTCTCTTCCTCGATCCAAGAGCAGCTTTCGACTCAGTCGACTGCTCTATACTCTGGCATTGCCCCTCCCTAGAGGGTCTACCCGAAAAGTTTATTTCAATATTACGATTCCTTTATACTAATAGCCGAAGTTGAGTCCGAGCTTACGACACTTTTTCACCCGAGTTCACCACCGAAAGTGGTGTTCGTCAGGGTTGCCCTCTCTCTCTACTTTTCTATTTAATTTTGTTTTAGATTTGATTATAGAAACAGCCGTGTCGTTATGCGAGCATAGTGATATCCATTTACACCTAGGTGACAGACTGTTTGATCTATAGTATGTAGACGACATTATGCTGCTAAGTGAAGATCCAGGTAAGTTGCAAACCTCGCTGGATAGTTTGTGTGCCAGCATAGCTATGTTCAGTATGCGCTTTACACCTTCAAAGTGTAAAATATTGATACAGGATTGGGTTGATACACCTCCCAACATCACTCTAACTGGGGAGATAGTAGAACAAGTAAATAACTTTTATTATTTGGGTAGCTATATCTCACCTGGCGGATGCACCACAGATAAAGTGTCGACACATACATAGACTCGGTTAGCATTTACCCACTTGAGACATTTGTGGCACCGTCTCACCGACGTCCAGCTGTCCGTGAAGGGTCCAGCGCAGACTTCAGTAGTTCGGTGCAGAAACATGGCGATGACAAAAAAAATAAATGCATTTTATCAATTTTGGGACACCGCTGTCTTCGTTGCATTTCACGAGTTTGGTGAGGCAACACGATAAGCCGTACCGAAGTTGGAAGCGGTTTTAGGTAACCCCAGTCGCCCACCCGGAGCAAGTGGTCGATTGCCATATGTTACGTTGGTTGGAGCGTGTTACGCACGTCACTAAATAGGTTGCCACGGCGTGCGATGTTTACCGGGGCGGGTAGTGTGTGGAAAAAATCTAGGAATGGTCGAACTAAGACTTCGCATGAGGGTATGAAAATCCTAACCAGGAAACTCTGTGAAATAGGTCGTGTTAGGCTCTCTAAATGTGATCCTCAGGATCATTGTAATCAATGGTAGAGACATGATGTCTATCGCGCGCGGTGTTACCGTGTTGAAAAAAGAAACATGCTTTTCTACCCATATTCGTTGTGATAGACGGCAAAAGAAAATGTGAAACTATGTTCGTACTGGTTGTTCCATTTCGCTTATCGTTCACAGTTGCCAACTAAGGTCAACGCACCTCGGACCACAATTGATCGTTGGCCCACTAGTTACCCATTACAGATGATCACCACTTTCCGTACATATTTTGTAAGTAGTCATGCTAACTATCCGATTCCTTGTGGTCAAACTTGGGAACGAACCTGAAATCGCCTTCCGCCCCCGCCCTCTTCTTGATGCATCTAACGACCCTTGGCTGATTCAAACAAACCATCCACCTTATCCCCTTGTACTTCGGTGACGGGATTTACCGAATCGTCAGTTGCACAGATCGATCGTATAGAAAATCGCTAACCCAAACTCTATCTGAATTGTTCTGTCACTAATTTCTGCTATGCATGCGGATCAGATCCACATAATTCTTTCGATCAAAGTGGTCGCAATTCCGAGATATGTGAGAACCGATCTGCATTCGTTCACACTGAATCGTTCGTTTTCAATTTTTGTCGTGAATCTGTCAGGTCCGTAAATGTCTGAACACTAGCACTTTCTTTTCATCACTTTGTGACCATTTGTCACTACGAAAACTATTCGAAATGCAAAGCAAGCTGTTCTGCAGTTCTCGGGGTAGTAAACGTAGAGGTCGTCAATACCCCCCCCCTCTGGTTCGAGATCAGTTCTCTTGTGGATCCACGACAATATATTGAATTCAAGGACATGAATCATGGAATGACCTGGTCGTGTCAATGATAGAATAGTCTCTGCAGTTTTCGCGTATCACATATGCGCCTATCATCTCACTGTTATATTCACACATACACTGCTTGTGGTTCGCTGCCATTGTGATACGAATGTAACATAAATTGATGGAATATTTACTTTTATGCATGTGAGAAAGAGGTGACGAAACTGCAGGCATAGAGGGAGCAAATCAGCTGATTCTCCGGGTTTCCTAGGCAGCTGTTGGATTGTTCAGTCGAGGATACAACTGTCCCGTTTTATTTTCGGACACAACCTACCTAGATTTCCTCCACTATGTTCGGCAATAGCTGACGTTCCGACTGTCCGCCAGTGTATTGGCGGAAACTTCTGGACAAGGATCAGTCAAGCCGTTAGTTTGATACTCAGATATGATCAAACTCGCCAGTGCATTTTGCTCTATCGTCTGTCTGTCCATCCATCCATGTGGTTGGTCTTTTCGAGTTGTTTCATCTCGCCTCACCAGCTGGAGAGCAATCGTGTATGTTTTTAGGCCAATCATATCTGTACCAATTACATTAATGTATCCGTTTCACATTCGCCTAAATCCAGACTGTGTGCCAAACAAAGCGCGGTGCAATAATCTTTATAAAAAAGAGGATGTTCCAGGATTTTTTTGTGGATCGAGTACTGCCAGGTTGACCAGGCCAAGGCAGATAGATTTTCTTGAGGCATTCACAACCAGAGCCTTGGGCTAGCCAAAGCTTGACCTGTGAGGCAGCGGGGCGGTGTGCGAAATCTGCTATCCATTTAGGGGCCAGTGTCCCGGTCATCGGATCATACGCCTATTGAACGGGGTAAAACTTCCAGGGTGCCGAATACACCTCGATGCCTCAATGAGGAAGTTGTGGGTGTTTGTTTTGTACGCCTCTTTTTGACTGGTTAGGAATCAGGGATTTTATCCAACCACCCTAGGTGAACTGATCCGGTTATAGCCCATGTTGTTAGCTTTCGGTCGCCTCACTTTGGTGTGGGAAAACATCTCCACTACTAGAAGGCAGCGAATAGGATTTTCTCAACNGCTATTTGAGACGCTTGGTCGTATGAGCGCATTTCGCGAGGTGCAAGAGAAGGGTGACGAACCACAACCCGAGACACCCACCCTTGGCCATACCGAGGCTTTCGGAGTTCAATTATATTAGAGGAGAACGGTGGCCAAATGCCGGTCATCGACTGAGCTCATTGTGATTCTTATCTGTCTGTAGGGGTGTATGATTATTCTTGCTCGTTCTCTTATGTGTGCCTAACAGATGAATGTGTATTGCAGTTAGGGGAGAGCTGAGTGTCGATGTGTGTGAAATTTATCGCCATGAGCTTTTCCTCTTCATCTTCCTACATCATATTGCTCCTTGTTTGATTTATCGTGGTCATGAGGCTGCTGGATAATCGACCATTGAAATGCATAAATCGATTACTTGTTTTGGCTAATACGTAACACTTTTCCTTCGCTGTATTACATTGAGGACACAAGCGATTCTTTCAGGTGGAAAGATTGACTCTAAACGTTCTCGTCAATGGATTTTTTTGCAGATCAATTTCTCGTAACATTTGGTGCATGATTTCCAGTTTCCTCGTCATTATACTGCTGGCTGAAGGGTTCTGAACGTGTGATACTAAATACCGTATAATGTAACATTTCACTTCTATCCAATTCTGTCATCGTCCGATTCGACAGGAGAGGGGTGCTCTTATTTGACAGCGGGTTTTCTTCCTACCTCAGTAATCAAGGTTGTCCGGATACCGTTTCCATACCACTCTGGAGTTCAAGTCCATTATAAACCTATGCTTACGGAACATGAAACTTTAATCTGGCCGTTCCAGAATGTATGCTTGGCAGCACGGATCGGGGGATTCTGCATGAAGAGTCGATCTGGGGGATAGTTGGTCAAAACTAATAGCACTAAATATGGTTGATTGGGTTCCGGATTTAGCGTTCATACCCTTTTTGTCAATCCCAATGTTTTAGCATTATTATTATTATTAATATCTGAACCCTCGTTAAATAGGAATTGTTGACTACGGATTTTTTTTGTTATTCTCTCCCCCCCCCTATTTTATTCAAGCAAATCGTTGGATTCCGGTTGGTTCCGAGCACCCCCGGACACCGAAGCTAGTCCAGGTTTCAATGGCTCAACGGAAAACGTCCCCAGTAAGTACGGTCAGATATCCTTTACGGTCCAATGACATTCATTTGTTTGGTGTTCGCTGTGAACAGTTCAAACGTGCACTTAATTTTCTCAAACAAATCCGATCCCTACCATTTCATTCATCCATTGCTCGAGGAATGATTATGACGGAGTCCGTACAAACCAATTGTACCGATATTCCGACTGAAGTGAATGGAACAATTTGATAATCGACAATACGGTGGTACAATGCTAGTGGAGTTGTTCAAAAAAAAAAAAAAAGAAGCAACTGTCTGCTCATTCATTCAGAGTAGAAAATGATAAATGTTTATGATACTTTCTACCCGTTATAGGAGAAAAGGGGGAAAGTGACAGAACTAACGTCTTTCGTATTTCATACTCCGACAGAAATGTGGATGTGAGGTTGAGGAGTGCAGTACTCATCGGTGTGCATGCATCTCGACAACGGATTACGGCAATAGCTGAACAAATATGAATTGGTCATTTGGTTCAGCCATGGCATGGCGCAGTCACAACACACACACACACACACCTTCCATGTCCGATGGGTCCGGAATTCAAATCCCGGCCGGAACGGTGAATATGCACTATTGATAAGCTCTAATAAGAGGGAAACTCGAGTCTAGTGCTTCCGAGTGTATGGTTGACTGGATGAACTGAGGATTGTGCGCGAAGGTGAAGTCCGAAGAATAACCAGTCAATATCAATTAACCCACACACGCTACTTACAAGTAACTGAGTTAAATACCAATCTCGAGATTCCCACTCATTTGAGTTCATTCATAGGATCCAGTCACTAGTTCGAACACGAGGTTCTAACCCCATAAGTTTCACACACCACGAGGACTGAGCAAAATTGACCATTTCAATTTTTTTTATGTCGCCCTCAATGATTGATAGTTGTTTTTTTAACACCCGACAGCTACCAAAGTGTACTGAGTTGCTTTCCACTATGTTCCAATATTCATTCACTCCACCTGTGCAGTTTGCCTCCTCTCTTCATCTGCGTTGTTGTTGGTTTTTACTTCCACACTCATACACTACGCACAAGATGAGGGTGTTCTTTTAAGATAACGTGCTAGTAACTCACAGATGGAATGCTAGCGAACGAACTTGGCACATCTCCTCCTTCATTGCTCTTTCAAGCGTTACAATCCCGTTTTCTCGAACCTAGCATGAGCTCACCGACCGAAACGCAATGTGTGTTTCACGTTTCCACCCTAAATGATCCGTTTGGGCAATAATGTCCAACTTATGCAAAATCTTTTTTTATAAACCTTGTCCCAATCTGACCTGGGTGGAATGGTCTATTGTTTAAAACTTACGGGTTTATTTCCCACCCGAAAATGCTCGTTCTACATGAATGAGAGAAATCAAATCATTCTAATTTTTCCCCACTTTCGCTTACCTCTTGTCTGCCTTACCCTTCCCAATCCGCTCAATGTCAAAACCAATGTTACCATTTTTAGAATCTTTTCTCTTTCCACAGCGGACTGGTCATGTGATCACTCGTGTTTGTCTATCTGTCTGAGTCGGTCTGATTGGAGAGGGATGTTCGTCTACCGTTTTGTATTGAACCATTTCTGTGTGCCTTATCTCATGCACACACCCAAAGGAATGATCAGTCAAAATCGATATCACTCATCCCTACCCCACTAGTCTCAAGTCACTGTGACTTAGGCATGATTTGAAATTCCAATCCAGGAGATTTAAATGCGGCAGGTTAGCCCGTAACGTCCACACCTGGTTTGGTGGTATGCTTTCGATTGGAGTAAACAGATGGACCACTGTATTTCCCTTCGTTGTTGTCGGGATAGAATGAACAAACCTATGTATTTAACACCAATCGTCACAGATACGGCGCCAAAATAACCATGGGTGAGCGAAAAAAAATAGATAAAAAGCAAACATGAATTGGTAAGACTGGTCAGCCCCGGTGTGCAGATTCGAACATTAGTAACCTACAGGTGTTCCATGTGATGGATCCGGAGTTCAAAATCCCGGACGTGACGGTGGTTAGGTGCTACTGATGAGCTCTAGGGAAAGCGAAACTAGTGTCTAGTGCGTTTTTCACGTGTATGTCTGACCAGATCCACTGAGGATGTTGCGTGAAGAAGGAAAGTTAAGCCAATCACTTATCCCACCCACATCACCACTCACAAACAACTTTGAGGTAAATATGAATTTAGATTATTAATTGTTAGTGAGTTTCATCTCTCTCCATATATATATATATATATATATATATATATATATCTGCTTGTTGGTACTTTTGAGAACGCATACATATTGTGCACAGTTTCTCATTTTCCTCGCAATTGATTTTCAATAAACACTTATATTTCATTATGCTCCGGACTTGACTGAGTTTAAAATCCCAGCTGATGCGTGTCAGTTGTTCCGGTACTGACTGTTGTGTTAAGTGCGAATCGGAAAATTCGACAGTCTAGTCATTCGGTCCTAAGGCTGGACACGTACTGACTGCTTCAACACATTTGCTGGAGCTGCCGTTGTGTGATATCCTCGTGCACGAAGCAGTGTGTCATATGCTAATGCGTTACCGTCTGAATGCATCTTTCTTTTTTTCATTCGTGCCAAGTTTCTGTGTCATGAAATTGTAGAAAAAGACAGCAAAAATGACAGATCAGCTATTTTGTCCAATCGAACTGGATCTTGAGGCATCCAATACTTATCGACAATTTCTTAGGAAACAACCAATCACAAATGGTCACCGGACCCACCTCGTCGAATTACCATACAACGCCACGGTTTGCTAAAGTGTTCGGATCGGAGTGTCCTTTTAATTTTATCTGACACTATTCAGATAGTAGATACAAATGCTCAAAGCGATACAACATCGAGCTCAATTTTTCATATCTCGTTACATAAATTTTTTTAATAATTGGTTCCGTTGTTGGTCCGGTTTTTTTCGGTTCCCTCCTTCTCCCCCAACTGGGTCCAGTAAACAACTCAGGATCGGGTCGATTGATCAAATCCGCACACGGTTCATTTCCACCTCCTGATTTCATCACTAGCGCTGACGCAACCACTCCAACTCCCGGAAATTATCGACCACTGGAGGAACGTGACCTCGCCACCTTTGTCGGTCTAGCTGGTGGCGATTTGGATCGTGGCCGATCGGAATCGCGCTCGTCCATGACCTATTCCAGGGCAAATTCCGATGCACCCTGCTCCTCGTGTGGTATGTCCTATCGGATACTCAAAGATCACATCGTGTTCTTGCGCACCCAGTTGCAAGCTCAATATAAGGCAGCCGAAGCAGAGGCTCGAATGCGTCAGTTACACTCGAACGCGATTGAATTTTTGCTTCGTGAGGTGTGTGTATCTCAATTATCCGGGTTTTATCATGGGTCAGTAGATGTTCTATTGACCTACTTTTTATATCGCTTCATTTATGCGGTATTAAATCTGTACTATTATCTACATCGAACTTGAGTTACCTGCCACCTCAGATGCCAGGTTTATATGTTCTCGAAGTTTATTCAACTCCAAAAATAGCGGAAAAACGTTTGCTGACTTAAGGGCTTTTAATTCGCGCAGACAAGACGATCGACCTGAACTGGTGAAACGAGCAATACCAAACGTGCCACCGAGGGCCTTCACCACTCTGTCAAGCGTAAAGGGATTTTGATTTCGAGGGCACGTGTGTAAGTAAACCAGTGGACAGGTTTTATGGAACTGAGGAATGTCCGCGTGAAGTGGTGGATAGGAAAGTGTCAAAAGNCTGCGACGCTATCAGTAATGGTCGCAATCTTCTTCGTTCAATTAGGAGTACAGGCTCAAGGAAAGTAGGTGTAAGTGAAATAATTAAGGAGTCCGATGGCATACCGATTGGTCAACAGAAACGCCATTTCTTGATCAATGGGCGGAACATTTTTAGGCACGGTTCAACTGGCCCCCGTCGATACAAAACCGCCCAATACCTGCTTCAGCTGGGTAAATACTTCCAATTTTTGTCAGTCCTCTATCTGAAATGGAGGTTTCCCGGGATATCAGTTACCTCAAAAGGCCTCTGGACCAGATGGGCTTTTTGTATCGGTTTTTAAGGATAGAGGGTCGGCCCTGGTTTTGGAGTTAACGAGACTCCTGTGGGAGAAGGAATGGTGCGAATCGGCCTTCTTACCGATCTTATTTTTGTCACCGTCGCCGGCGTGCTTCGGATCCTATGTTTCGAGTCCCATCACCGTCACCCACCCTTGGTGGTAGGCAGCTTAGCTCTCTTGCTGTTCAATACCACACCCGACCTAGTGGAGCCTTATGTGGTTCACCACTCCAGGTCCCGAGCATTAGGTTACCGGTTCCAATCGCTGAACAGCAGGTCGTTGTGCCTATGGCGCTTTCCCCGTCTGCTGTTCATCATCACACTGAGGTGTGTGACAAAAACTGTTTAAGTGCAGGAGTGATGCTGATTCGATCAGTTCTATTTGACTTTTGTGAAGGAAACTATACTATACTACACTGATCATCCGTTCCATTGTCCTGGTCTGGATGTCAAACGACTGTTCTGCTCTGAGTGTCTGAGAGTAGTTCGGCATAGATAGAGTCTGCGAGTTTATCCCTGACAATGCCACTACATTTAGAGATGTGTTTCGAAGGTCTCGCCAGTAAATAAAAGTCTTTCTTCCACATACCGGGAAAAATTACTGGGGAGCACACATGCATTCACAAACGTAACAATCAGCTTACGGGGAACAGAGAGTATTCTCAATCGGAGTGAGAAAGCACTCTAACTTTACAGAATTTGTTTTGAACATGCCCGTTTTCTTCACTTAGAACAAGGTACGGTGATAACCACAGTGTGCTGCACCTTCCGTACATGTGAATCGCATGCACACACACACACAGTATCCTGCTGCCACTTGTGTTATAGCTTACTGTATCGAATCGATGCCAAGATATCGAACCCAGACTCGCAGTGACCATGACAAGTTGTGTGAAGAAGTGACGCCAAGGTATTTTACCAGTGTTGATTTCGGTACTGATTCATGATTTGCAGTGAGAGTGGGGTACCTATCTATGAGGGCTGAATATAGTACATCGACCAAGAGGGAAAACACAACATCCTGATATTTAGAGGCATTC